TATTCTCAAACTATTACACTATGTTGGCTGTAATAAATGCATGAATAAATAAAATAACCACCAACATTAACAAGTGTTGTGCCTCAAAGTATTCCAACCTTTAAAGAAATAAAATTCAAAGTCCATCACTATTCTGTTATTCTATTCTAATTTATTTATATCCTACATTTTGTCTAAAAGCTTCAACTAAAAATGGCGTACACCACTGAGAAAGCTCTGTTTGAAATTATTGTGTGTAAAGAAAATCAGCTATGTAGGGAAACATTACTGAAAGCTGTAAGCTTTCAATGCTTGGAGGACTATGATTTAAATATGAACAAGTGTTGTTTTTCCAACAGACGAAGGGACTCAAACTATTCCTTCAGAGGTTTTCAAGCATTTAGACCTTGAAAGAAAATGATTGGAGGCTTACCTGTCACAAAATGGGAATGCAGAGGCAAATGCACCTCTGCCCCAAATGGCAGCAATAAGAGGAAGGGCTTGGTATTATCACCAAGCAATTACTGATACGTTTTATATTGTAATATCATCCCACTCTGGATATTGCTACTAAAATCTTTGCCTACAGTAATTTCTTTGTAGCAGGGAATTTTGTAATTATATTATCTCTTTCCACCTTTCCTTGCAAATGGCATCCAAATTATTCTTACTCATCTTCTGCCATTTTTCCTCCATTCATACAGAACTTGTGAGCTACACTCCCACCTTTTTTTTTTTTTAAAAAAATCATTCCTTTCTTCCTGCATGGAATATTCAGTGTGCTGCATGTAACTCACCTGAAGGTGGTCTGAAACCCACTGCTGGCTCCCAGTTGATCCAAGCTTCATTTAAAGCAGTGTTTCTCAACCTGGGAGTTGGGACCGCTGGGGGAGGGGGGGATTGTGAGGGAGTTTCTGAGTGGTCGCCAAGACCATGTGAAAACACATATTTCTGATGGTCTTAGGAACCCTTTTGGCAGAGAAGGTTGAAGATCTCTCCACCTGTCATTTTCTTCTTATTTTAGTATTGGTGAACTACAACTCCCAGAATTCAAAACCAACCCCCACCCCCCTCCAACACCACCAGTATTCAATGTTGGCCATGTAGGTAGTGTGCCAAGTTTGGTGCAGATCCATTGTGGGCTGTGTTCAGAGTGCTCTTTTGATTTTAAGCTAACTATAAATCCCAGCAACTACAACTCCCAAATGTCAAGGTCTATTTCCCCCCCAAACTCCACCAGTGTTCACATCTGGGAATATTGAGTATTCATGCCAAGATTGGTCCAGATCAATCATTGTTTTGAGTCCACAGTGCTTTTTGGATGTAGGTGAACTACAACTCCAAAACTCAAGATCAATCTCCACCAAACCCTTCCAGTATTTTCTCATGGCCATGGGAGTTCTTTGTGTGCGAAGATTGGTTCAATTCCATCATTGGTGGAATTCAGAATACTCGCTGATTGTAGGTAAACTATAAATCCCAGCAACTTCAACTCCTAAATTTCAAGGCATATTTTCCCCAAACTCCACTAGTGTTCACATTTGGGCATATTGAGTGTTTGTGCCAAGTTTGGTCTATATCCACCATTGTTTGAGTCTACAGTGCTCTCTGAGTGTAGGTGAACTACAACTTCAAAACTCAAGGTCAATGCCCACAAAACCCTTTCAGTATTTTCTCTTGGTAATGGGAGTTCTGTATGACAAGTGTGGTTCAATTCCATTGCTGGTGGAGTTCAGGATGCTTTCTGATTGTAAGTGAATTATAAATCCCAGCAGCTACAACTCAAAAATGGAAAAATCAATCCCCACCCCCACCCCACCAGTATTCAAATTTGGGCACATTGGGTATTTGTGCCAAATTTGGTCCAGTGAATGAAAATACATCCTGCATATTAGATATTTGCATTACAATTCACAACAGTAGCAAAATTACAGTTATGAAGTAGCAATGAAAATAATGTTATGGTTGGGGGTCGCCACAACATGAGGAACTGTACTAAGGAGTCGTAGCATTAGCACAGTTGAGAACCACTGATTTAGAGTGTCATTCTGGAAATGAAGTAACAGGAGAATGCTAGCATGGCAAGTTAAGGCAATCTTAGAGCTTTCATGGGTACACCTGAATCTGTGCAGTTTTCCATTCGTTTTGGCTTTTAACATATATTTAAAGAAGGGTTGGGGAAAGAAGTAGAGCTGGCACTCTCCTAATATGTTGGACTACAACATCCATCATATGCTGGGGATAGGGGCTTTATAGTCTAATGCATCTGGAGTTCACCACATTAGAGTGCACTAGTCTAAGACAATAAAAAACAGACCACAGATCAGATTAAAACAAAACTGTTTGGGGTGAGTTTTTCAGATCTGAGCATTTTCTCTCATATGTGAGCAAGGATCCGTTTTCCTTTTTCTGAGAAAATTTCTCAGAAGGATGGACTGAATGAAATAACTCCACCAAGAAAGAAGGTTTTTGGAAACATAACATCACACAGTTGAGAGATCCATATAGATTTGGAGAACTGCTTTCTGCCTGTTGCTTTGAGTCAGAAAGAGGAAGAGAATGCTCCTTCCTCTCCTGTCATAACTCAGAGAGAAAAAACATATCTAACCTTCTTTTTCTGTGCTGCTTTTCCTCTCCACTGTCACTCATTACTACAACTAGTTATTTTGTATTATTCTGCTCTTTTTACTACTGTCTGGGCTGCTCCTATTATCCTATTTCCTGTGTATTGCCACTGAACTTACTCACAGCAGATGTCTTGCAAAGCTATATACATAAGCACTCAATACCGTATCCATCCTTTTCAAGCAATGCTATGCCCCACCTGAGTTGCTGCCATCAACCCTCAGAAGTCTGACTTCAGGGGAAACATGATTGGAGAAGCAGTTCATTACCAAAAGCTTCTCCAGCTTTGTTTCAAAAAGTCCTTTTGGTTTATTTTCACCCATGGACAAAACAACTTTGGAGGTAATGTGATGTAGTGCTTTGAATGCTGGACCATGAATGGACATGAAAACCATGAGCAAGTCATACTTTCCCAACCTCAAAGGAAGGCAAAATCTTGCCAAGGAAACCCGTGGCACGCAACATAGCAACAACATCACTTCTAAAACTCAAGTTATGTGATATCTTGTATTGCCCCCCCCCCCAAACACACTGCCCAGTTATCTCATTAATCCCCCTAGGCACCCTATCTGTGGCATTCACATTTGTGTTTACCTGCAAAAAGGCAATGCAGAGAGAAAACAGCTGAAGGGTCTTTTCCCATTAAAATATTTCTTACACGGCTCAATTGCTCTTATTAAATCAGATTGCCTTGTTTCATTTGACTACTATAAGTATTTAATTCATGATGAAGGTAGGACCACAATTTTTAAAAAGTGGAAGAACAGAGCAATTTTTAGAACCAAATGGTGACAATGTGTTGTCAAAGGCTTTCATGGCCGGAATTGCCGAGTTGCTGTGAGTTTTCTGGGCTGTATGACCATGTTCCAGAAGCATTATCTCCTGACGTTTCACCCAGATCCAGGCATCCTCAGAGGTTGTGAGGTATATTGGAAAATGAACAAAATCTGGCTACCAGTATTAAAAAAAACTCTAAAACCAGGAGAGTAAATAAAGAACAACACTCCGAAAACAGGGGAATTCCAGACATGAAACAATCAGGGCAAGCTAACACTAATCGATTCCCTCAAGCAGGAATCAGCCAGGTCTTGAAGCAGCAAGGCTTTGCAATGCTAATCAAGGTGATTAATTGCAAATTCACACTTGCCTCCAACAGACAAGAGTTCTTTCTCCCACCCTGGACCTTTCACAGATGTATAAACCTCCCCGGTCTAGTTTCCAAAATACCTCACAACCTCTGAGGATGCCTGCCATAGATGTGGGTGAAACATCAGGAGAGATGAAAAGGATCCAAGTGGAGATAGAATAAAAAAATCTGACCCACTTTAAAAAAACAGATATTCTACATAGTACAACAAATCTAAGCAGTTGTGGGTTTTCCTAACACTTCAATGAAGTCACTGAAATAAATCATCTGGACCATCTATGGGGACTTCTGCATCAGAGAAAGACTTCGATCACCTTGTCTTGCCTCTTTCTCTACTGCCTTAGGATGTAAATATAAGGTCTCTACTTGAACCAGTCAGCCCTGGGCTTGTTGCAGATTGCCAGGCTCAATCAAATGGCCAGACACAGATCCAGTCGATGATGCCGTCATTCTCATCACAGTTTCCCGTCTATAAATAATTGCACTAGTAGAAAAATCACTACCCTTCGCTGTTCATTAGTAGCAGCACATGTTTTCCCAGCTGGGTCATTTCCATGACAGAGGGTTTATCTTTCCATAGCTCTCCCCATGAATCCATTCCCGGGGAGGGGTGAGGAGGATCTCTTGTTTTAACTTGTAGGGATTACAGTCTGATGGGGTGGAAAGGATGTATCCCAATCCCTTTTAGCATCATCTTTTAGCATCACAAACCATTTCTTCATTTTCAAGGTGTTCCACTCCAAGAGGTGAACCTTACCTGAACTCTGCACAGACATATCTAAGAACTGGATAGTTAAACCCTGCATGCTCTCCCTTCTATCACCTTATGCTTGAGGTCCCAATGACACAATGGGTTAAACCCTTGTGCTGGCAGGACTGCTGACCAAAAGGTCAGTGGTTCAGATCTGGGGAGCAGGGTGAGCTCCTATCTGCAGCTCCAGCCCCCCATGCAGGGACATGAGAGAAGCCTCCCACAAGGATAGTAAAACATCAAACATCCCCTGGGCAATGTCCTTGCAGATGGTCAATTCTCCACACCAGAAGCAACTTGCAGTTTCTCAAGTCACTCTCGACATGAAAAAAACCTTATACTTTGGAACTTTCATCTTTTATATGTCAAAGAGCTTTTACCTGTTAATTGTAGGTGAACTATACATGCAAAAGTTCCCTTCATACTCCAGATGTTCAGCACAACTTGCCCAAAGTGTGTGAGTTTCAATGGAAGGGCTATACCAACTGACACAGGAAAGAAGATTCAGATAGATTTTATTAAGCAAATTAAATAAGAAAGAAAGAACCATCAGAGCACTTTTTTGGGCAATGTAAACCAGTGAAATTTATAAAGTCACGGGTGCAGCAGTCAAGCACATGGGCTTTTTTTTTTTTAGCAGCAGCAGCAGCAGCAAATAAGCGTCAAGAAGTGATCGGTACAAAATACAAACCAGACCCCGATGGAATACATGTTTCAAAAGGTGAAAGTTACAGTAAAAAGTAGATGGTTCAGAAACCATGTCATTGGGACAACAGAGGTACTGCCATTCCTGTCGCAGACGAGTTGAAAACTGGATCTAAGAGGAAAACACAGACACAAACACCCCAAAAGCACCACAATTTGATGGATGATGTGCATGCCCTACCCTTCACATTCACACTCTTTACAGGAGAGAGAGGAATGGTTTTACAATCAACTCCAGGATCCATTGACTCCATCTCCTTTTCACTGTCAACAACCCCCACCCCTCTCCCTTTAAAAACAAAGCAGCAAAGTTGGGAATGTTTCCTCCATGTGCATTCACATTGCTACCATATTTACAAGACACACAATTTAGGTTTGTTGTCGAAGGCTTTCATGACCAGCATCACTGGGTTGCTGTGAGTTTTCCGGGCTGCATGGTCACATTCCAGAAGCATTCTCTCCTGATGTTTCACCCACATCTCTGGCAGGCATCCTCAGAAGTTGTGAGGTCTGCTGGAAAATTAATAAAATCTGCCTACCAGTATTAAAAAAAACCCTCTAAAATCAGGACAGTAAATAAAGAGCAAGACTCTGAAAACAGGGGAATTCCAGATGTTAATCAATCAGGGCCAGCTAGCACCTCTCAGCAATTATTCTCCCAGACAGTAAACAGCCAGATCTTGAAGCTGCAAGGCTATACAATGCTAATCAAGGTGGCCAATTGCAACATTCACACTTGCCTCAAACAGACAAGAGTTCTTTGTAGCATTCTGGACCTTCCACAGATATATAAACCTCCCTTGCCTAGTTTCCAACAGATCTCACAACCTCCGAGGATGCCTTCCACAGAAATGCTGGACCACTCTAACAACCACCATGCCAGACTACACAGAGAAGAGTCTAGTTTCTAACAGACCTCACAACCTCTGAGGATGCTTGCCATAGATGTGGGTGAAACGTCAGGAGAAAATGTCTCTGGAACATGACCATACAGCCTGGAAAACTCACAGCAACCCACAATTCAGATGGAAAGGCTTCCTGGCTGCGTTCATGACTTTCTCATACACACAGTTCTGTCTTTTCAGTCTTCCACTCCAGTCAATCCTGGTTTCCCCAAACTCTGTCCCAGAAACGTTCCTTCACTTCCCAAGAGGTTGAGTGGAAGAAGAGGGGGAAAACCCTTGTTATCCACCCCCATTTAAGCAGTCAAACGCCCAGCTTCCTACTTAGCGCAGGAATGCCTTGGATGCTGCTGCTGCAGGAGGGAAAGGATGGGGCTGGCGCCGGTGCCTCGGCTCTCCCCCGAAGAGTCTTCCCAGGAGAAGGCAGCGAGCCCGGGGTCAGTAAGGCCCCACCACGACGGCCTCCACCTCCTTGGAGGGCCGCCGGTCCTTGACCAGGAAGTTGATCATGCCCTCGGACTTGATGAGGAGGTTGCAGCCGAGGAAGAAGATGCCGAAGACGACGGTGAGCGAGAGGACGCACATGACGGCGATCTGCACCACGCGCATGATGTACAGGCTCCGCTCGTCGGGCGCCGCCACCACGAAGCCGTCGTCGCTCACCACGGAGCGCGGCGTGAAGGAGGAGCGCAGCGCCCGGCCCAGCGCCTCACTGCTGTTGGCCCACAGCAGGCCCGCCGCCTCCGTCTGGTTGCCCAGCGGCGCCCACGCCGAAGAGCCGTTCATGGCCGAGGGAAGAGGAAGAGGAGGAAGAAGGACCAGGAGACGGGGCGGGAGGCACCGGGAGGCAGCGGGGAAACGGCCCAGAGAGACTCATGCGGCGGGCAGCAGGCGGAGGAGGAAGAGGACCAGGAGGGCAAGGCGCCTGGGAGAGAGAGAGAGAGCCCTCTCAAGGCTTCCTCTCCTCTCCCTTCAACTGTGGGGCAAGTTCCTCTCCTCTGTCAGCGCTCTCTTCTCTCGCTGCTGTCCCTCTCACGGGGCCTCTCCTCTCCTTCAACTGTGGAGTCAGTCCCGCTCCGAGTTCCCGCCTCTCGAAGCACCCTCTGTGCCCAAAGGGAGTCGCGTGTGCCTCAGGTGCCTCCTCCCCAGCCAGTCAGAGGACTTTCCGCGGATTTCCCTGAAGGGACTCTCGTGGGTCTCGCTCGCGGTGTCCTGCTCTCTTCTCCCCTTCCGCCTCTTCAGGGGTCGCTCGCTTCCTCGCCCTCTTCCCTCGCTTATGTCCGCTGGCGGGGCAGACTCGCGTGGGGATGAGGTGCCTTCACGGGTGCCTCCTCCTCCTCCTCCCTCGCTGCCTTCTCTTTCTCTCCCTCCTGCTGTGTGTGGAGAAGGGGCTGGCCGGGGAGAGGTCCCGCTGTAAGGTGCTTCCTCCTCCTGAGTCCTCGCCTGGTGGTGGCTCTCTCCTCTCGCTCCTGCTCCTGGGCAAAGGAGAGGGCGCCAAAAGGATTCGCGCGCCCGAGCCCCTCCCCCTCTGGGCCCCTCCCCTCTCTCTCTCTCTCTTCTCTGCCCTGAGCTGCGGAACTGAGGCGTCCCTTGCACTCGCTTATCTCTCCCCTCTCCCTCTTCTCTCTCTCACTCTCCCTTTTCTCCCTTTCCGCTCTGTCTCCCTCTCTCCTATGCCTGAGGTGCGGGACACAGGCGTCCCTTGGACTCTCTCTCTCTCCCGTCTCTCTTTCTCTCTCCTACCCCCCCCCCTCTCCCTTTCTCCCTTCTTCACTCCCTCTCTCTTTCCTGTTTCCTGAAGTGCGGGACACAGGCGTCCCTTGCGCACTCTCCCGTCTCTCTCGCTCCCTTCTCTCCCCCTTTCTTCTCTGACTCCCTCTCCTCTCCCTTTCCTCCCTCTCCTCTCTTTTCTGTGCCCAGAGGCGTCCCTTACACAATCTCTCTCCTCCTTTCTTCTCCTGTCGTCCCTTGCACACACTTTCCCGTCTCTCTCCCCCCCTCTTCTCTCTCCCTTATTTCCCTTTCCTCCCTGTTTCCTCTCCCTCTCCTCTTCCTCTCTCTCCTGTGCCCTGAGGTGCGGGACAGAGGCGTCCCTTGCACACTCTCTTTCCGTCTCTCTCTCTCCCCTCTTCTCGGTCTCCCTTATCTCCCTTTCCTCCCTGTTTCCTCTCCCTCTCCTGTGCCCTGAGGTGCGGGCCAGAGGCGTCCCTTGCCCTGCTTTCCCTCCTCCCCCGACCTGGGCTCTGCACTCTCGCTTCTCTCTTGTCTGTCGGAAGAAGGACCTCGAGGGCGCAGCACCGAAGGCAGAGGCGAAAGACGCGGCTTTATTGAAAGAGGGGCAGGGGTGGCGCGGTAGGGAAAGGGGAGGGCAAGGCACGGCAGGTCTCTTCCTCCTCCTCCTCCTCCTCAGTGCAGCCGCCCCCTGCTCCCTTTGAACCCCGCCTAAGCCCCCCCGTTCCTTGGTCTTCCTCGTGCTTCGCAAGTGGTGACGCGGGGCGCTTTGGAAACCAATACAGTAGAAAGGAAATAGGTCCCAATAAACAAGAGGCACGGGAAGCGCTGGTAGAATGAACGCCACGGACACTCGCTCAGGCTCATGCTCTGGGCTCCTGGGAGCTGTCGCAACATTGCCCAAGAGCCTGTCCTGCGCGCGCCACAACGCGCAACCCGGGATTCCATAGCAGGGCGCCCGGGGTTAAAACTGCACTCCTTCTGCGGTATAGATGCGCCCTCAGCACGCGCGACCCTGGCATTCATTCCCGCCCAAAGTTGCTCACACGAATGTTTTGGCGGTGGGCGCTGAAATCCAGGGTGCTGGGCTTCCTACTCTGTGCCCCTCAGGCGCTGGCCTGCATTTGGTCTGGTACGTGCAATACAAGCAAGGTACACACAATGCCACGAAGGGATACGCTGCCCAGTTGTTCTTGTAATGACGATTACTCCTCTCTTCATATCAAGTTAACAAACTATATTAGGAAAATCAAGCGTGAGCCCTAGTTGAAACCTGAAGTTTTGTAGTTGAACAGAAGTTCCCTACCATCTCTGAAATGTGGCCACATGAGCAGAGGTTGATGGGGTTGAAGTCCTAACAAGATCTGGTGGGCCCAGATTCCTCATAACTACCATTTTATAATAATAATAATAATAATAATTATTATTATTATTATTATTCACACGCCGGAAAAAGTTACAGAGAATGAACACAGCAAGCTACTCTGGGACTTCCGAATTCAGACAGAGTTTGGGAGCACAATACTCCTGACCTCACAATCATGTTAAAAAACAAAGTGTGGGTTGTCTATGTCACAATCCCAGGTGACAGCAGAATTGAAGAGAAACAACTGGAAAAGCTGACACAATATGAAGATTGAACAGCAAAGACTGGCACAAGCCAGTACAGGTGGTCCCACTGGTGATCGGCACACTGGGTGCAGTGCCTAAAGACCTTGGCCTGCACTTAAATACAATCGGTGCTGACAAAATTACCATCTGCCAGCTGCAGAAGGCCACCTTACTGGGATCTGCACGCATTATTCACCAATACATCACACAGTCCTAGACACTTAGGAAGTATCTGACGTGTGACCCAATACAACAGCCAGCAGAGTGGTCTTGTTTGCTGTGGACTCAACTTGTGTTTCAAATAATAATAATAATAATAATAATAACAACAACAACAACAATAATACTTTATTTATACCATGCCACCATCTTCCCAAGGGGACTCGGGGCGGCTTACATGAGGCTAAGCCCAACAATACAACAATGCAAATATACACATAAGAATACAACAATAAAATATAAGGAAATAAAATAAGCGAAAGAATATAAATAAACATATCAGACAATATAAAATCACAATGTTTGAACACAGAAAGTTGATCACATGGGCAGGGCCGGTTGCAGGGATTAAAAGTTTAAAAACACTGGGTGAGAGAGCAATGTAATGTATCTGGGCAGGGGATCCAAGGGATATGCTGTCCAGGTACGTTGTTCATTCATCATGAAGTGCATATAAAATAATGCAAAGCAAGTGTCCTTAGAATTGAGATTTTCCATTTTACCCACAAAATATAGAATTTCTGACATGGTCAGAATTTTTTTTTCATGTCAGGAGCGACTTGAGAAACTGCAAGTCACTCCTGACATGAAGCTGCAAGTTGCTTCTGGTGTGAGAGAATTGGCCATCTGCAAGGATGTTGCCCAGGTGACACCTGGATGTTTTACTATCCTGTAGGTGGCTTCTCTCATGTCCCTGCATTAGAAGCTGGAGCTGACAGATGGGAGCTCACCTCACTCTCAGATTCAAACTGTCAACCATTCAGTTAGCAGTCTTGCCGGCACAAGGGTTTAACCCATTGCGCCACAGGGAGCTCCTATGGTCAGGTATAAATTATTGTTAGCTGCCCTCTATCTGATTTCAACTTAGGATGGCCTTATGACTGAGACAACTCCAAGTCACATTGTCGCCTACAGCCCTGCACAGGTCTTACAGACTCAGAACCGTGGTTTCCTTGGTTGAGCCTATCAACCTGTAATGCAGGAGTCCTCATTTCTTACTGTTCCCTATCTTCCCAAGCATTATTGTCCTTTCTAGTGAGTCATGTGTTCTCAAGATATGTCCAAATTATGACAGTCTCGAATTGACCACCTTGGGTTCTAGGGAGAGTTTGGGCTTTATTCTAGGGGGTTTTTTTCCAGTCCATGACATCTGCTGAAATTTTCTCATGCACCATACTTAAAAGAGATTATTTTCCCCCCAGCAACTTTCTTCACTCTCCAGATTTCACAACCATACATAGAAATGGGAAATACAATGGCATGGACAATCCTAATTTTAGTATTCAATGGTATATTTTTATACTTCAGTATTCCTTTTGAAGTTTAAGCACATGGGTTCACCTTTAAAGAATGGCAGCTTTGCTTTGAAGTGATGGATATTTGCATCTTCCAAGTTACAGAGGGGTTTTTTTTTCAAGTTGCATAGAAGAGATAGAATTTTTAAAATTGTCTCCCCTTCTTGTTCCAGAGCTTTTTCACGTCCACATGGAATTTTGGTTTTCACAATTATGATGCCTGCCTTGTATAGAGGAGATTTTACAGTGTATGATCTCTTTTAAAATCTGATTAATAATATTTCCTTTCTTGTTAAAATAAAAAAAATAGTTTAATTTTAGCTGGTTAGATTTAAAAGTATTTCTTTTAAAACAACAACAATATTGCAGCCCCTTCCATAATGATAGGAGAGCAGTTATTGTGCTGCCATTGAACATTTAAAAAAATCTTTCAATTCCTGAATCAATAACGGCAATCTTTTCTATATTTACTCAGTAGTAATACCCAATACATTCAGTGCAGTCTGATGTAAATGCAGTTCGTCATCACATTAATTGCCATGGCTCAATGCTAGTGAACTCTGGGATTTGTAGTTTGATGAAGCAAACTTCACCAGAGAAGTCTTCAGAGAAGACTGAAAATCTAAGTCTCCCATGATGCTAAAGTGATGTCAACTACATTATTTTCAAGTGTAGATGCACCTTAAGGTAATGCATATCAGCTTTCCGGTGGTGCTATGGGTTAAACCCTGTTCCAGCAGGACTGCTGACTGAAAGATTGGTGGTTTGAATCTGGGGAGTGGGGTGAGCTCTCATCTGTCAGCTCCAACTTCCCATGTGGGGACATAAGAGAAGGCTCCCACAGGATAGTAAAACATCCAGGCATCCCGTGGGCAATGTCCTTGCAGATGGCCAATTCTCTCACACCAGAAGTGACATGTAGTTTCTCAAGTCGCCTCTGACATGAAAAAAACAAATACAAAAACCCAGCTTTCCCAAACCAAACTTGTTCGAAAATTATTGAACCACAACTTCTATCATTCCCAGCATAGGTGTTGTACTCCACTGCATCTGAAAGGCATTCAGATATGGGAGGCTGCTATACACATAAATGGCTGAAAATCTGTAAGTTGTCAATATTTAGATTGACTGGAAAGTTTACTTTAAAAAAGGCGGATTAAAAGCATTTTAATGTATTTATTAATCAACAATATAGTAGATGCACATTTCACCTGAATCAAAATGTGGTGTCCCATTTTGTTTTAATCAGATATCCTTTGTGTAAATGATTTTAACAAGAGCAACAGCTGTTTCAGCTTTTAAAACGTTATTTTAGGATTATGGCTAGCGTGTAGCATGGCCCAGATGCCAAATCCTAATCTCTGTGACATATTTGTAATGTCAGTCACACCAAGGGTTTAAATATTATGAACAATACCTACCAGTCTAATGGCAAAGTGATATAGCAGAAGTGATACATGGGCACACACATATTTTTTTCAAATATCCAAAGCTAAATACACAATACCACAGCCACATTTAATACTTAGTCTGGTAGGCATGGATCAAACCTGAAGGAGCCAGTGCGGTGTAGTGGTTTGAGTGTTGAATTAAGAGCCTAATTCAGTATGAGCCTCCTCTCCCACTACAACTGCATTGGCTGTAATATGCTCTTCAAGTAAGATTGCATTCTTTCCTATTGCATCTTCAGAACTATTGTGGGATTGTAGAATCTGTTTGCACTAAAGCATATTGCAGACAATATTTTGAACTGCCTGTCTACTATATCCCTCATGACATTATCTTTTCCCCCTTCCATTATTTGGCACATACACATGCACACACACACTCATTGCCTTCATGGTATTATAACGCTATTTATTTATTTATTTATTTATTTATTTACAGCATTTATATTCCACCCTTCTCACCCTGAAGGGGACTCAGGGTGGATCACAGAACACATACACAGCAAATGTTCAATACCATTAAACTGACAGGACAGACAACAGATAGAGGTATATGTCAGCATTATTCCCAACTTCGGCGTCCTGGAGGTTGTGCTCGATTCTGGCCACAGGGGGTGCTGTTGCACTAAAGCATTATAGTGCTGTAGCACTGTTTTCCCCCCAAACTTTAATCCCATCAAAGCACAGGAGCAAGAGCTGTTCAGAACATACAACGTGTCATGCTACCTGATCCATCTGCCCCAAACCCCAGTTGCTTGAGCTTCCTCCAATCCTTAGAGGAAAGGGCTGTCCTTCAGAGCTGAATGTAGCCCTCTGGGAGTCGATGCTACTGTTTGTATCACCATGTTTTTTCACCCAAAGCATGCTCACAATATCGTTCATGACCACCCAAAATGGAAGTAAAAGTGCAATTGAACTTTTGCATTTGTAATGATTGTGCAACATAAGCAGGAAAGGACCTCCTTAATATTGTAGTGCTTTTTTTTACAGCTAGAAAGAAAGACTCACCTTTAAGACCACCTCCCATGGCAGAACTACAGAACA